GTTTAGTGAGGTTTTCATACCTCTTATCTTGGTGTTTGCGCGCACCATTGTTGTACTCTGTTGGGTTTGTAGTCTTGCGAGACCACACCAACCGCGTTTGTGGTGTGGCCGCTACCATGTACCGGAAGGAACAAGGCCCGCAACGTTTTGGCTGGAAGCTTGATAGTGAAGAAGGCAGGGAGCAGTCCTGGAGAGGCACACCGGAGACGCACTTGCACGTGGAGAAGACCCGGGGCTATTCACGGAGTTACCCGACCGGGAGCTTGGCTCTAGCTCTAATGAGGACTAGGGGAAAACTTGAGCGCTTCTCGATACCTCGATAAAAATACCGGAGTCGTCGACGGGAGTTTGTATCTCTACCTCATGTTTAGCTTCCATATTTATGTTGTAATCTTGGTTGTGTGCTTTACCTTTTCTAGCTTAGTTGATAGGCTACTTGATATGATTTGAACCTAGGTTGCATACTCCCTCCGTCCTGTAATATAGTGTATTTTAGCATTCAAAAATTGTCCTCAAATATAATGCATTCTAAAGGATAAAAACTAAATTTACATTAAATACTTTCCATTTATCAACCAATCTCCATTAATCACGTCGATGATAGTGTTTGATTAGGGAATAAAATGAGGGTACATGCGCCTTTTATATTCTCTCTTAATTTGTCTTGAAATTTCTAGGATGCACTATATCACAGGGAGTAACTCTTTTGCGGTAGAGATAGTAACAGACTAGCAAAACCGTGGTTGCATATTTTGATAGCTTATCTTATTGCATAGGTTTTGCTAAGGTGAAAATTAGAGGCCATAGTTAGAAGTAGAATTTTAAGTTGTCTAATTCTCCCATCTGCATCACAGTCCTTACGGATCGCAATGAGTTTTTACGTAGAGCATCTCTAATAGTTTCCTAAAAAGCAGCGATTGGTAAAAATAAATGAGTTTTCCAATTGGCTAAAAATGTTAGGACCCCATATTTGTCTGGTTCCTCCGACAGTTTCCAAATTCAGATCCTAAAATATATTCCTCCGTTCGCTTTTTCCCTATATATATGCATTTGCCCACAAAAGTTTTCATGATTGATCTGATACTAGGTGAATGCCCATACATTGCAACCGGATACATAGAATTGGATGATGCTCTCACACCCATTCCACACTGAGTGATCTCGCCACTACGATCCCACGGACTGGACAAGGCAGAGGTGATGATTTTAAGATGTGTACATATAGTCGCCGGTTGAATTTACATAATAATTTCATACATGTTTGCTCTACGAACACAATTAAAAATGTTCTGCATCTATACAATGGTATGAACAAGTCAAAACAAAAGGCTAAGTAGCTACCCAGTTTGCAAATTAAATCCTGAAAAGGTCAAAACATAAGGATATTTATTATCCATGTAATTCCAGAGTATGCAACGCAATTCATGGAGTATAAATCATGGTCAACAAAAAGAAATTGTTTAAACTTGTTAGCTTCAAGCATTGTTGCTGACACCCATTGATCAAAATAAAAGTATGTCAACCTGACAATTGCCCCTTCCCATCTTTCGCCATGGAATGAACTGGTACCAGTGTGATGTTCTATAGTGATTCCCTGCTGGAATAATGAGTTAATGACTGAGTTCTCGTCAAGGTCCTGACAAACACATTAAAAACGTGAAACATGATAATTCAAGTCAACTTTGTAGAAACTGGAAGTTGCAGCCCTCCAAACACCATTAATGTGTTTGTAGAAACTGGGAAGTTGCTAGAAAGCACAATCTACCAATATGTGACTATGTGGTCACTAATTACCAAGGCTCCATGCAATTATCAGAATTCTAATTCCATTAGTTTTTAGAACTTATGAAGAGATCAAAAGGGCGATAGTAAAACTGTAAACTTCTCATCTTAGCAAATTGGCATCTAGACCAGCGCCATGCCGCCCAGAGGGCACAATCCCATCGATGCAGATGTAGTTGACCTTCTAGCACAGCAGTTGCTGCACCATACGGTCACACTAAAGAGACCCGTTAGTGGAAGACGGGAAGGGGTATTCTCGGCAAAATCGCTAGCAAATAAAACTTTCGGCGACCATCATACTTTTATAATAAGCACCGGGTTGAAAAAGGAAGAGCTAACCCAGCGCAGCAGTGACATTGTTTGGAAAAAGTCCATAGTGTTTCCCTCAACTTTTGCAAAAGTCTGATTTTCCTCCCTGAACTCTAAAACCGGGTAAATCACCTCCCTAAACTTTTAAAACCATTCGTTTTACCTCCCTGACCGGTTATAAGCGGTTTTTAAAGACGGTTTTATCTTTATCTTTTTTATTTGTTTTAGCTAAATCTTTAAAAAATCATAGTAAATCACAGAAAAATCATAAAATAAAAATCTAATTTTTTTGAACTCTACATGAGTAGAAACTGAAGCAATGAATTAATTATAGAAAAACATAGATCTAAAGCTTAAGTAAAAAATTTGTACTAAAGTATACCATATTATATATTCACTGTGTAGATCTACTCATTTAGAGTCCAATAAAATTGGATTTTTCATTTTATGATTTTCTATGTTTTACTATGGTTTTTCAAAGATTCAACCAAAATAAACAAAAGAGAGAGAAAAAACCGCGTTTGAAAACCGCTTATAACCGGTCAGGGAGGTAAAACGAACGATTTTACTAGTTCAGGGAGGAAAAACAGACTTTCGCAAAAGTTGAGGAAGGTAATGTGGATTTTTTCCATATTGTTATGACCGGCGTTACGTATCAGCGCCACCTAGGATTAGCTATCTCTAGATATTTTTCATATTTCTATAATTATAGGATCGTGATTGAGGGGATAAATACACCTAGACTCTTTTAGAATGAATTAAGTGAGGCAATTATCTTCCTAAAAAAAGCCAGGCAATTATCAATTGCCCGGACCTCAATGGCCCTCTCCCACGTGCGCCTCTCTCTTTCTCGCCCTAGCTGCACCGCTGCCCACCTCCAGCGCCGCTACGGCTCCCGAGTGTCGCCGTGGGTATCGACCCCGGCCATCGATCCTATCAATGTACAATGTGAAGATGGCTAATGCCATATGTGTCAAAAATTGCAGATAAAATTGTGAGTTGAAGAACTAATATAGATGTCATATCTAATACATCTATATGCCATGATTACTTGTAAAGGTAAAATTTAGAAATTAAATGTGAACAGAAGGTGGAAAACATATGTAAATCTCAGTTTTGAACACAGATCTTTCAAACTAAATTGGTGGATCAGCAAACTGGTCATTTCTAGAAAATAAAAAAGCAGGGAAAAAGATAGTACTGATGCAACTGCAAACTTAGCAATATATGTTGAGTGTGACACTATGACTAGAAGCCAGAAAGCACTAAATCTCAGTTTTGAACGCATATCTTTCAAACTAAATTGGGGAATCGGCAAATGATCTGGTCATTCCCCAATCCCTATCAAAGTGAAGCACTATGCCTAAGGCTAACAAATCTGTAGCTGCAAATAATCTGCATGATTTCAGCACTTCCTCCCTTCAACCATAGCCTATAAAGTGATTACCAAAACGATTCTGCTGAATCTCAGTCAAACACAAAACACTTGATTTTTCAGATATCGGCCTCCATAAACAATGACAAATACTAAAATCTAGACGGCTAGACAGCTCAGGATACAACTCAAAACCAAAGATCCTACCTTTAAATCATAGCTACTAAAAATTGAACTACGAAAATATAAGTAGTGTGATGTCCTTTTGGTGAGCAAATAAGTAGACTAACTATTAAATGCAATGCTATTTCTTGCTACTAATTAGGTAGCTTACCCAGATCTGTTGAGGCTTCCTGATGCAGAGTAAATTCACAGCAGAGTAGTAGGGCCCCTGGACCTAAACAAAACATTGACTCACTCATTCGTAAATATGCCTATCTATTTATCTAAAATAAATAAAACAACATAAATGGATTGGGTCATGAAATATTAAATGTATATACCTGTTACCGGATTTCATCTTATTCAAACTATGAGAACGATTGGTTTTTGATTGAGTATCGAACATGGTTGGTGATTTAGGCAAAAAAATCCCTGAGAATTTTAAACCCATACAGATTGATAAACACGCCCTAGGTACCAAATTATATGCATAATGCTTGTGTCCTTGTAATTTATTTAATTAAGAACTTAAAACTCTTCATGTAAGCAGTACCAAATTATCACTTGGAGTGCCTAAAGAATCACGAAGCCTTCAACTTTTCTTAGGCAAGCAAATTTACTTTCAGCCTTTTTCAGGTATTGTATTAGAAATTACATAAACAACTATAAGCCTCAACTGAAACTTGCATGAAGAAAGTATATAAATATCATGTATAACTTAGTTATAGATTTATTATTTATAAATTTATAACTAAGTTATACATGATCCAATTAGTATAAATTTTTTACTACAGTTTAAACATACAATAATTAGTGCTTCATAAAATTTCGCCACAATTAAATCATAGAAACTACAGCTATGAATCAATTATAGAAAAGCATAGATCTAAAGCTATAGTAAAAGAATTGTACTAAAGCATACCATATTATATGTTCACTGTGTAGATCTACTCATGTGGAGTCTAACAAAATTGAATTTTTTATTTTATGATTTTTTTGTGATTTACTATGATTTTTTTAAAGATTTAGCCGAAATAAATAAATAAAAACAAAACCAACTTTTAAAGCCGCTTAAAAATTAAGGGAGGTGATTTACCAGTTTTAGAGTTCATATGGACGGAAAAAAAAGACTGAGCGTAAAATTCTTATGGCTCTTCGCGCATGGCCCATCGAATGATAATAACTGGGCTGCCCCAAACATCTGGATGAAGCGCGGGCGTACAGATTTGGCGGCCCAAAGCACCCCAAGCATGAAGCATTCCCAGGCTGGGCCGGCCCCGGAACTGTCATCAATCACCTCGTCTTGCTCGTGCTGGACACGGTTTGTTTCCGCCGCCGCCCTTCCGCCGTCGTGAGTTCGCCGCCGGGAGAGATGGGTTTCGTCGGCGACACGGTGGAGTCGATCCGATCGATTCAGGTCCGCCACGTGCTCTCGCAGATCATCAGCCTCGGTAGGCGACTCTCTCTGCCACCTCTTCTTCTTAGTCTCACCATGGTTTTGTTTCCGCGGGTGCCGTGTAGTGTAGTTGTTGGGTTGTGGTTGGGTCGATTGCAGTAGGGTTTTAGTGGGTAGTACCGATTCTATTCAGAATTTCTGGTGGATTTTGGCCTGGGCGTGGTTTCATCATCTGCTGCCCCCGTCTTTAGAAGAGCAATTGCCTTGAATGACAGACAACAGTCGCAATGAGCTGAACTGGGATTCTTCCTCCTCCCTGCTTCGTTTAATGTTGTAATGTGAATTACTCATGCTCTCTCGTCGAATGCCTATACCTACACCATTATTTGCTTGCAAAAGAATTTTGTATGAGAAATCTGTGATATTCAGGGGATATGGAAAGGGTCACTTTCTGCAATTAGGTATTTTCACTAGTTGCTTGCAAACATGATGGAGTTTTAGCTCTTAGATTTTCCTCTTGGCAGGTATGATTGTGACCTCGGCATTGATCATATGGAAAGGATTGATAGTCGTGACGGGGAGCGAGTCCCCGGTGGTAGTGGTTCTTTCTGGTAGCATGGAACCTGGATTTAAAAGGGTTTGTTATCTCCTTAACAATTAGCATTGAGCTTACAGGTTGTGTGCTTTCATGATATTTACACATTGGATGGTTTTTCGCTGGATGCTTATCTGCTAGCTCATGGGATGGTATACTGTGATACTGTTGGTTTACCACTCTGGACTGTGGCATTGGACTTTAGTTGGATGACTCATGCATTTTTCTCCTTCACATGACAAAATACCTCTACAATTGGTTCACCGACCACGATTAGTTGGCTCCAGCCTAAAATATAAGTTAAAGAAACTACCAAAGGCGAATTTCCATCTCTTTTCTTATCACATAGTATACGAGTACAATTTTCATTTTCACAAAAATGGTAATATGAATGTATCTGGTCCCAAGGTTTTGGTAGTTTGCACATGGTGAATGATGCATATAATCTCTCTAGGCTCTAAAATTATGACCTAAGTTATTCCTAGATTTTCTCTTCTTAAAATGTTTGCCGCTCTAGTTGCTGATATGTTATGGTACATATTATCTACTGCTTCGATTTGACTACAATGGTTCATTATCTTATCTGTGTCCTTATGAAGTGCCAGCATCTTTAACACTATGCCAGGATGGTTAATTATCTTCTTTACAGGGTGATATCCTGTTTTTGCACATGAGCAAAGGTCCTATCCGCACAGGAGAAATAGTAGTTTTTAACATCGATGTAAGTCTACTGCTTAGTTGTGAATAAGCAGCTGAATCACGAATTCATTAGTTTTCTCTACACCTCATTGTAGTGTCTAATGTGTGCCTACACAATCCTTTGGAAACACTAAAATATAATTTGGCTGTTATGTTTGTAGGGCCGTGAAATTCCAATTGTTCACCGTGTAATTAAGGTAATGGATATTGGTTCACAGTTTAAGTCGTCCAATGACAGTTACTCTGGATTTTGTGTCTACTTTTTTTTTTACTGGTTCAGTTTGTTTACCCTTCTGTCTCTATAGGTCCATGAACGTCAGGACACTGCAGAAGTTGACATCCTCACAAAAGGTGCCATTTCTTAAGTGACCATTTTTTTTTGTAATTGTACTACTCCCTGGTACTATGTAATTAAGAAAATGGTAACAAACAATTGCCAACACATGATGTACTATGCATGTCTATGCAATGTATTTTTATTGATATAAGATATCTTTCAGGTGACAATAATTTTGGGGATGATCGACTTTTATATGCACACGGTCAGCTTTGGCTACATCAGCATCACATTATGGGACGTGCTGTAGGGTGAGAATACTCAAGTAGACGGAATCCACTTGTTTCCACACCTGGTGAGGAATAATGACTGACCCTATGTTTTCAACTGTCAACAGCTTTCTTCCATATGTCGGCTGGGTTACAATTGTCATGACTGAGAAGCCATTTATTAAGGTATACTCATACTTACTATTTCATGTATTTTCTCTGAAGAATAAAGTATTAAAAAAGTGTTCATTCTAGTCAACCTACTTGAGAACATGTTTTTGTTTTTGTATATGTTGAGAGCACCTTACCCATTCTTCTTACTAGTGTAGATTAGGCAAGTAGATGAACTATTTGTTTTCTAGATAGTTCTCGAATGTAACAATAATATTGTAGCCCCCATATTATTGAAAGGACTGCTTCAACACATTGTCTCTTGCTGCAGTACCTGCTGATTGGTGCACTGGGCCTGCTGGTCATAACAACTAAAGAGTAAAGATGTCGACCTCCATCATATAACTTGCTCTTATGGTGCGAGCAGTGAATTTATGTTGTTATGGGGGAGCTGTTCTGTTTCATGACGTATCAAACAAGAATTTTCCTTAATATGTTAAGAGCGCACCCACTAATTTAATAGTCAATCTCTCATGCAACATCCATCTTTTGATACTTCTAGTTGAAAAGTGTCTAATATATGTTAATTGCATTTGATCATGATAAAATTATCCTTTTTTTTTTTTTGGGGGGGATTATAGGTATGCCATCAAAGGGTCATTCTCATGCTGCTTTAAATATCGAGCTAAATGTCAGGTTCTGAGAACATAAGTGAGACTAACTAGCATGTTTGTGGGCCTCTTCTTAAACTACCCTTTTAACAAATATAAGCATAAACATTAACATGGCTTACAAATGTCACACATGAGAAATTATAGAATTACACTCTGACCTTGACATTTAACACACTGAAATAACTTAGTCGGCGCCATAAGAGGAATTATAGAACTATACACTCTAACCTTGGTATGCTGTGGTTGACTGAAAGGCCCAATTCCAATTGAATGATCTAAAACCTGAACGTCAGAAACACGCATCGGAATGAGAAGGCAAGGCTGGCTTCTCCTAGACAATGCAATACAGCTAGCTGCCATCTCATCATCTGTATGGTTCATCCAGTCTCCAGCCTTGAACTGAGTGGAAGTACTACTCTTCATTGGTAGGTGACTGATCCAGTTGGCGACTTCAGTGGAGTTGACATCGTTCCTTGTGAGGCCAAACCTTTTCCGATTTATTGATTTGGATGCTAAATGTGGTCTTTTAATGAAGCTATCATCATTTGCACAAAAGTTCTTATTGATATTCTCTGATTTTGAGTCATGAGTCAGATATTCAGATTGGTGATCCATTAGGACTGAACATGCCTTCTGGTGTTAGAACTGCATGCGTTTTTCAGTTGTCAGTTGTCAAAGCTGGAGCACACTTTTTGAGACCTTGACATGATGAGGTCGACAGGTTTCTGTGCCGTCTGTTTGCCTCCAACTTAGCTTTGACCAGTCAAGAGTGTCACTTGCAAGGCGCTGGCACATCTGCCGACGGCCGGTGCCAGAATCCTGCGTGATGTTGAGCTTCGTTTTGGAGCTCTGACTCACGGTCTTTTTTCTGTTGGAACTCCGGGCTGTTCTGCAGGTTTCATTCCATGTTCTCTAATCTCTGGTTGCCACGCTTCGGGCGGCACTTCAGCCTGTTCGCTTGCTCGTAAGCGATCGTAAATTTCTAGCCGGGAACAGTGTTTTTTCTCTCACACCAAACTAGCCAGCGGTAAATAATCCACGATACGATACGGCCTCCCGTCGCCGTTTTGCTGTACTTTTTGCCGTACCAGGGTTACTTTTTCCATGTTCTGCCGTCTGCTCTGAGGCGGTGATGGTGACCGTCTTTGAGGAGCCAGCTAATATTTGTGAATTGTGATTTTCAGAGACCTTTGACCCCCTTAATTTCCCATGGAACTTTTGTTGTCAAAAGAAGTGGTAGGTTGTTGCCAGAATTGTTAAGATTGATTACTACAGTTGTCTAAGCTTAAGGTCAAATCCTCTGAAAGGAAGATGCAGCGTTTTCCATGGAACTTTTACTGCCAACAGCGGCGGTCCCTTCATTTCAGATCATAGTTCACATTGTTTTTGTTCTAAGTTAAATTTATTTAATTTTGATCAACCTTTTAGAAAAAGTATATTAACACTTGCTAGTTCAAGAATGCACTATCAAAATATACTCAATGAAGAATCTAATGAAACTAATTTGTTGTTACAAATGTTGATGCATTTTTTTCTATAAATTTGATTAAAATTAGAGAAATATGACTCGGAACAAATCCAGAGTGAACTATAATGTGTTGTTTTTATGTCAAACTGGAATTCAGGGCATATTTTGAGAACATTTAAGGATGGGCCGGCAAACTGGTTCAAGTGTCGGATTCCAGCCATAATCACGTAGCCTTGACCAGCCGGAATCCTAAACGTGCAATTATTTCATACATATTTTTGTGTCCAGTGTCATTACAACAAGGCTGCAAGCTTTGCAACTACACCAGAACAGAACATGTCCAACACGGCAGCAACACACACAAGCAACTTCTTTAATTCGTCACTCCTAAAGAAAAGGAGCAGGCAAATGCAAAAGGGTTTGTTCGTTTCCCACACATTAGTAGGTCTATTTGTAGTAGTAAGCCTAAAACATACACACAATAGTTTAATAATGGAGCACACTAGCTAATCTCGTCAAACCTGCCTTTGACCAGATTCAGTGCAGACGGGTACATTCACACGTATTGAAGAGGAGCAACATTTTTGGAATGGCAACTATGCCTATGTTGGAGTATGCTGCCATTCACACGTATATGTATATCTTGGAGTATATGTTGCCAAGTCCCAACTGTTTACTCCATAACAAGGTCGCCTTTCTTTCATATTCCTTAGTCTAAAAACAAGGGTCGTCTTTGCTTCGTAGCACCTTAGGGGCCTGCGATGAAGGTGGGAATTTCAGAGACTCCCGTCAAATTTACGCCGGATATAGCCTTGAGTTAGGTTACATTTCTTTTAGTGAGTTAATCCATGGTTGTCGTCTGTAATAAAATGTTGACATTAAGGGAAGTAAGAATTTCGAAGTTCACTAAACTTATAATATCTTTTATAAAAGAATCTTTAATAAGTTCCCAAAAAACACTGTAATTTTTTAGTACGGACGGCAAAAGCTTCACACTTTTATTAGTAGAGGAAAGAAGAACAAAAATGACCACATATAACCGGCTTACCACGTATTCTAGATCCACTGTAGAGTGGGGAAAAAGAAACAAAGGAAAAAGAGATTACTAAATATTTACAACAAAAGACCAAGCATCTAGAAAAGGTTTGAGAGCATTGCTCGACTGTTCGTGGGGAAAAAGTAGAGAGCTTATTTGCTATTTTTCGAAAGGTAAAATATTTTACCACTGTTTATTTGTTGTTTTGGTACAACGGTTTGTAATAATCTGCTATTAAAATGAAAAGTTGGGCAACAACTCTGCCTCTCTATGTGTCTCATACTTGTCTTCCACGTGTTTCACCGAATGCATCTATGGTCGAGCATCCTCGGCACTCTATCTGACACCCAAAATTTCTAAAATAGAATCTCCATTACCTACTCAACGGAATCTTTATTGTCTACTCTACTTTCCAGTATTCTCAAATCTAAAAATAGTGTCGGAGGTCCAATTCTAGCAAACTTCATAGTCGTTGGCGATCAGAGCTGACCGTGGCAGGCCATCCAACTTCTAAACCGGAATCTCTATCGTCTAGCCTATCTTCTAGTATTCTTAAATATATAGTGGTCGAAGATCTAATTCTGGCGAAAACTCTCAGAGGACAATCAGGGCGACGGAGTGGAGAAAAAAACTGTTACGCCAATTGGGGGCGATGCTAAGAGCAGAGAGCAAAAAGTCACGTCCAAAGACACCAACACCAACATGAAGTAGAGACACCGAGAGTGGAGCATAAAAAACAGCAATAGGCAAGCCATCACAGGGAGTAGTGTTGGTTGGCATATTTTTGCACGTTGATGCCTCAAATGAGGATAGATTACGAATTATAGTAAAAAGTTGTTGAGTACTCCCTTCGTCTCGAAAAGACTGTTGTTTTATAAATAAATCTAAGCAAGTGCTTGTCTAGATTCGTTTCTAAAACAACGTTCTTTTTGGGATGGAGTAGTAGAGTTTTTTCGTTTTGCCAAACAAACAAGATTGGAAGTGAGATTACTAAATGGTTGCAAATGCTTAGGAAAAAAAAAGAGGAATCATTCTCGCATGTACACTTATCACAATCCCTCACAATATTCTAAAGCGGGATGTTTAGCACAGTTGAAACATTTCTGCTTTCTTGACAAATATCTTATGCACCGTGTATGGAAAATGGTCCAAGAAAGATTGATATTTCGTTTTTAAAAAAACCCCACAATAGTTGTGCCAAACTTGGTCACCTTTTTTCCTTATAAAAATAAAAATGGTATCCAATCACACATGTTGTCTGCGATGATCAGCGAAGCTTTACTTTTAAGTTTTAAATTCGTGTCACTCACCGCATAATGCTTTATTATGTAATCCAAAGTGCCGCTGAATTTCGCACGTGCAGGGATGGACGCGAGCCGACATCATTTCGAAGATGACGTGGAGAGAGGAAGCTAGGGCGCTCATCTTGCGACACGTGTGGCTATTGACTGAACCAACCAAGATGGACGACAATGCGAGAACACCTTTTGGATGATGAAAAAGTGCGCTGCTAGTACGTGTCAAATGCGTCGTGCGTGACGTGACAGTTTCCTGACACAGGTTTTAACCGTAAGGTTCGAAAGGACTGGCCCTCTCGACACGTTGCCGTTAAAGTCTCTATTATTGGAAGGTGATCTAGCTAACATAGGATTAAGGTGCTTTTCTTTATGGAACTTTCGAAATTATTAGGTGGTCTTTCCTTTGAAAGCCTGCAGATGTCCCCTCTTGATGAGTCCAGAGATTAATTCCATGGCCATTTATATAGCACACACACAAGTTTTTTCCCCTATGATTTCAAATTCAAGTTTAAATTTGGATCGCGTGTTCATTTATATCTCGCAACAACAAATTTAGAAATCCTAGAAAAATTATGCTATACAAATTAAAATTGTAGGATTGATTAACATTATGTTAGGCAATCAGAAGGGGGGATAAATGATCATGAAAGCTAAATCATTAGAAAGCTTAAAAAAGTTGTCCGATTTTGGATGTCCGAGATTTATTGTTTTTGGTATATAACTAGTATACACATTTTTGTCTTAATTTCTACGAGAAGTAGTAGCACGTTGGATTAGTACACGCATTTTCCATAAACATTTCTACGAAAAAGGATGTGGTAGTAATAAAATCGTAACATTATGATGTAAACGTTTCTCTGCCACAGGCGATAACTTGTTACTAGTACTGGTAGAGTAGTGCACTTAGCTCGATTTAATTAACCATCTTAGCGGTAGTTACCACAGTAACTAGTACTCGTCGTCGACATCGTTGTGCTAGTGGAAGAATTGAAATCACGGAATGATGCCTACTCCTACGTATACCTAATTAAGATAGTTAGGAGCAATATCCATCCATCCATGGGCACCGGCTGAAATGGTACACGTAAGGCAGACAGGTAGCCAGCAGAATGCCATGGTCAAACGGATGTGAAACCTAACCTCATCTGGTCAAAGCAAATCGCCCTTCAAATTCTGTTTTCTTTTTTTGTTTTTGTTTCATGAAACAGAGAAACAAATGGAATAAATATGTTTCATATCGAAATGTTCACGAATATATATTTCCCATGTTTCGATAGATCTGTCGATACAGGTGCCGAGAAAATGTAACTAAGGGCCGATACTGAACACAGAAATATCATAGAAATCTTATAGAGAATTTCACAGGAATCATTTCGTTTTCAAAGGAAAAACATAGAAAATAAAAAAAAAATCCTCCAATGAAAGGGGACATAAACGTAGCTTGGATAGTTTAGATTCTTTTGATGAAAGCTAACCCTTTCCACCAGGATTTAAAGTCTTTGTCTTTAATTAAAAAGGAGACCTTGCGGTTTTGGCGAATTAATTTACGGTGCAGCCGTGCAGGCAAGTCAATTTTCTTTATTTTACTGTGTCTTTTTTAGAAATTAGTATAGGGTCTAGGGAGCCAAAAGTATTGGCCCAAGTAGTAGGGAACAAAGTTTGAACATGTAGGTTTAGCGTAGACGAAACTAGGAATGTTTGCATGCATTGCATCTTGAATCACTGTTCCACTGACGGCAGAAGTGGATGCATGTCGACGGATACTTATCCATCCTTGCTGTATATTGCTATTGCTTTGTCTGTTTGCAAATGGCAAATGCACATTATTTCATATGTATGCGCAGGATGGAATTTGTTTGATTTATCCTGTTAATGTATATGAAACTATCTTGACCAATTATTCGATTGTTGTATCAATAGATGGCTGCGCAAAACACTTACTACGATTAATGCATTGCTCTGGATATAACTTGTAGAGTAATAAGTAGCTAGTTTGTGTGTAAGGAATATCTGGTTATTTGTTTACGATGGACCACTATATTTTTCCAATGACCAAATAGTCATTCGGTTTTTTAACCGTCGGATTTGAATTTGAATCCAACGGTGCCCATTTATCCCATCTTTTTTTTTTTGAGAATCATTTATCCCATCTTGCTTCTTCTTGGGTGTAATGACCAAAACTCCATATCATTTTCTGAAACATTTAATTTTCTCTGCTAGCTCGAAACAATTTTTTTCTAGCCAGAACGCTAGCTTTAAAAACCAACAACTTTCGCCAAGTTTTTCCTTGAACAAACTTTTTTTTCACGAATCATAGTAAACGGAAGATGGACACAGTGACTATGATAAAAAGAATATCATTATTAAATTATAGAATAAATTCGTATAATTAGGCGAAAGCATCGGCTTGTCTAGATGAGGATTTAGAACTCCGTGTGGACAGGTTCCACACCCACATGTAATATATCGCTTTTCTTATTTAATTATACTTAGGTTGCAGAATGAAAAATATATGGGTCGCTGATTAATGGTGGATATATAATGTCCAACTCTTTTTTTATCTTCTCTTGCTGCCGAAGCTAAGCTTGTGGACACGCAGACGCAGTCACGCACGCCTATATATATATATATATATATGGACACACGTTGCTCGCCCAAGCGCCAGGAGCTAGCCAGCCATTTTCTGAGACTGAGAGAAAAGGTCACGCCTGTCACGTAGCTATAGGCATCTGCGCGTTCTAGTACGTCGTGTGTGTACGGCCGGGATTGTTCGTTCATGTGCCACGCCGCGGTGGCGAACTCCGGGGAGCAGGAGCACCAGCGCCGGCGGCCTCTCGCCGCTGCCAACGTCGACGACGACGGAGGAGGAGGCCGCGGGCAGCAGCAGCAGCAGCTGATGCCGGGGGCGGGGGAGCCCGTGACGGAGACTGCGGCGGCGCCGTGGCAGAGCAGCAGGCAGGCGCGGGAGATGTCGGCCATGGTGGCCGCGCTCGCCACGGTGGTCGCCGGCTCGGCGCCGCCGGCTGCCAAGGGACCCGAGCAGGCGCAGGCGCAGGATGCATCCATGGATGAGGCGTGGTGGACGTACGAGGACCTGCAGGTCGGCGAGCCGTCGTCGCCTGCCCGCTTCGTGCTCCACGGTAAGTCGGTGACAGAACAGGCCGGGGAGCATATGCTTTTTTTTCTTTTTTGTTCCTTCTTCTCTCATGCATGCATTACTCCGTATTTTCTATGTGTTATTTTATATTTTCCCTCGGTTATTTAGGGTCTGTTCGCTTGTCTGAATTTCGGAGGAATTTAGATGGTTTGAAGGAATGCTGAAAGAATCTGTGAGAGGAAAATACTGTTCCGAATAAAAAAATAAGCGGATCAAGCCAGGCTCAAAGGCACGTGAACGGGGCCTTAGATGCCGTGGTAGGACGCACGCGCGTTGATGATTTATCGTGCATCGAGTAGTGGCACATGTGTATTCTATGAGCTGGTTCGATTAGATGTGCACGAGGTCCGTACACGGGTCGTGTAACTAGGGATGAAAACGGATCGGATACGAACGGATATCACTCATATTATATTTGTTTTCATATTTCTGTTCGGATTCGGATTCGGACACGGATAGCGTTCGGATACATATACGAATACGGATTGACTCGGTTACGGATACGAATAATGAGTATCGAATACGGTATGAATCGGATTCGGAGAAGGTCGGATACAAATATCTATTCGGATATTGAGTAAAAGCAGCATATATATATATATATATATATATATATATATATATATATATATATATATATATATATCATACGTGCGCAAACCATTACACCACTCTATGAGTCCATAATCCATCTAGATTAAGCCGAAAGACTAAAGAGTAAAGCAACAAATAAGATAAAGATACAGATACATCATATAAGCACCAATCTTCGCGGCATGAGTAGAAATAGCCAAGCACATTGCTTCATGGGTCTCATGGAGTCATGGTCATGGATTCAAGATCTATAATCCTTATATAGGCCATTTTTTTCATTTTGAGAAAGTTTGAACAAAATGTAGTTCAAATTTCACAAGTGTGTGACATAGTTTTAGAAAGTCTGTATGAGATTTAAGAATTTGTGACTAGTGTTTGATAAAACTTTCTCAAATGGTAAAATGAGCTATGTAACAATTGTATATCTTGCTGAGATAATCAAACTTGGTATTCAGAGTTTTTTCATCTGAGGTCATTTAGTGTCTCATTTGAGCAAGTTTGACCAAGTCAAATTTGGTCAAATGAAAAAACAACACTTTGACTCTAGTATTATGAACTCTCAATGACTTCAAATTGAAAAGTTTTGAATACCAAGTTTGTTCAACTCATCAAGATCTACAATTCTTGTTTTGGTCAACTTTCCATTTGAGATAGTTTGGACGGTTTAAATTTGTGATTTTTAAATCTCGATGCTTACAAACTAGTTTTCGGAACCCTAGATTGTCTCAAATTGAAAAGTTTTGAATACCAAGTTTGTTCAGCTCATCAAGATCTACAATCCTTATATAGGCTATTTTTTCATTTGAGAAAGTTTGAACAAAATATAGTTCAAATTTCACAAGTGTATGACATAGTTTCAGAAAGTCTATATGAGATTCAAGAATTTGTGACTTGTGTTTGATAAAACTTTCTCAAATGGGAAAATGAGCTATGTAACAATTATATATCTTGCTGAGATGATCAAACTTGATATTTAGAGTTTTTTCATCTGAGGTCATTTAGTGTCTCATTTGAGCAAGTTTGACCAAGTTAAATTTGGTCAAATGAATAAACAACACTTTGACTCTAGTATTATCAACTCTAAATGACTTCAAATTGAAAAGTTTTGAATACCAAGTTTGTTCAACTCATCAAGATGTACAATTATTGTTTTGGTCAACTTTCCATTTGAGATAGTTTGGACGGTTCAAATTTGTGATTTTTAAATTTCGACGTTTACAAACTAGTTTTCGGAACCCTAGATTGTCTCAAATTGAAAAGTTTTGAATACCAAATTTGTTCATCTCATCAAGATATACAATCCTTATATAGGCCATTTTTTCATTTGAGAAAGTTTGAACAAAATATAGTTCAAATTTCACAAGTGTGTGACATAGTTTCAGAAAGTCTATATGAGATTCAAGAATTTATGACTAGTGTTTGATAAAACTTTCTCAAATGGGAAAATGAGCTATGTAACAATTGTAGATCTTGCTGAGATGATCAAACTTGGTATTCAGAGTTTTTTCATCTGAGGTCATTTAGTGTCTCATTTGAGCAAGTTTGACCAAGTCAAATTTAGTCAAATAAAAAAACAACACTTTGACTCTAGTATTATGAACTCTAAATGATTTCAAATTGAAAAGTTTTGAATACCAAGTTTGTTCAACTCATCAAGATCTACAATTGTTGTTTTGGTCAACTTTCCATTTGAGATAGTTTGGATGGTTCAAATTTGTGATTTTTAAATTTTGAATAAATATCCGGATAATATCCGTTTTTAAATATCCGGATATATCCGATAATTATCCGGATTATCCGATATCCGCCGGATATCGATGATATTACATCCGTATTTGATATCCGCCTAAGATATCCGTTTTAGTATCCGTATCGAAAAAAAAACGAATATCCGAGTAACTATCCAGATAAGTGTTCATATTTATTCGATCGAACGGACGGTCGAATAAATATCCGTACCATTTTCATCCATACGTGTAACACATGAGCGTGCATGCTGCTGGCTTACGCCTCCGTTCCCGTGCGCACCCACCCACACGCAACTGCTACTAGATCGTCTCGTTTTAATACGATATACTCCTATACGTATAAAAAGGATAGAAAAAGGCTGCTACCAACTTAACACGCTCAAGCAGAGCATGGCCAAAACAGAGCACTGAAGATGTCAAATCAGAGGAGTCAGACCACCAACTTGTCAGCACTAGCATCACCAACATTTCTGCTGTGCTGCTATGCTTTTATTCTGCATTAATAATAAAGTACGTCGTGTACAGTGCTAACCAGCGGTATAATGTTAAAGATTTGGACTGAGGCCTTGTTTAGTTGTATTATACGGGGTGTTGTATATGGTGTTCGGATACTAATACAAAAACAAATTATAGAATCCGTCTATAAACCGCGAGACGAATTTATTAAGCCTAATTAATCTATCGTTAACACATGTGTTACTGTAGCACTTTATTATCAAATCATGAACTAATTAGGTTTAAAAGATTCGTCTCGTAAATTACTCGAAAACTATGTAATTAGTTATTTTTTAGTCTATATTTAATACTCATGTCTAAATATTCAATGCGATACGACGTAAACTTATTTGGAGAGAAACTAATCAAGGCCCGAGAGTCTGAGACTGTATTTCTTAAACGCTCATGAACAAGAATAACCAACCTCTGTTCTCTGTGACCTTTCATGCAGGCTACGACGCGACGCAGCCGCGCGAGCAGTACTGGCCTGCGGCGGCGACGGCTACCTACTCGCACACGCAGGTCGGCGCCGCCTCTGCCGCCGCGGATGACGAGCTCCCGTCCCCGTCGTCGGCTGGGGGAGGCAGTACCAGCAGCAGCAGCAGCAGGACGGCGGGGCGGAATAAGCGGTACCTCGGGGTGCGGCAGCGGCCGTGGGGGAAGTGGGCGGCGGAGATCCGGGACCCGCACAAGGCGGCGCGCGTGTGGCTGGGCACCTTCGACACCGCCGAGGACGCCGCCCGCGCCTACGACGGCGCCGCGCTCAGGTTCCGCGGAAGCCGCGCCAAGCTCAACTTCCCCGAGTCCGCCACGCTCCCGTCCACGCCGCCGCCGCCGGCATCGGCGTCAGCCCAGCACCACCAGCAGCCTCTGACTCCAGCCTCGCGCGTGTTGATGACGACGCCGCTGCCAGCCAGGCCGGAGGCGCTGCTAGAGTCGCAGGCGCTCCCCGCCGGCGGCAGCAGGGACCCCTACTTGGACTACGCCAGGCTATTGCAGAGCGGCGACGGCGGTGGTGGCGGCGGTCCCAGCGCGTCGTCGGGGACTCCAACTCCAAGTGTTAGGTTACTGCCTCCACCACCACCTCCTGCTGCTGCTGCTTCGGCGGCTGCGGCGTACGGGTTCGGAGCAGAGGGCGAGGCCCTCGGGGGCTACGGCTACCTCTCGCCGCCGCAGAGGCAGAGCCGCGCGGAGCCAGGAAACCACCCGCCGCCGGCGTGGCCAGGCTTCTACAGCTCGTCGTCCCCGCCGCCGCCGTGTCCGTGGGACCAGTCAGGTTGACCACAGTCAACGTAAAAAAGGCAGCCCAGGGGCCCACCCAGCCCCTCCAAGATGCTGAGTGCTGACGTGTGTTCAGACGACTGGTGGTGGGCCAGGGCGGCACAAGAGGAGAGAGAGGCCACGTGAAGCCTCACTCTCACTGACACGCCGGCCTGTTAATGCCGTCAACTCCTGTTGCCGTCAAGCCGTGCGGCGGTCAGACAGTTCAAACGGGAACTGGGTCGCGTGGACGGCACAGAACGGCATCGAGGAATGGAGCCCCCGTTTTGCTTGGAATGGATCTCGACCACGACGCTTACAACTGACAGGGCGACAAGGATTTCTTTTTTCTTTTTTTCTTTATTTGTTATATATTGTTTTTTATTTGAATATAACACGTGAGTGTTTTCTTGGAAAATTTTCTATTCAGGTGACCCTTACAACTGACATGTGGATGGCAGATTGGCAGCGAATCTGTGGGCTCGCTCGAACCTAGCTTTGTGGATTTATTTAGGAATTCAACATTGTTTTCACGAACAAAGAACAGTGCCACATTCCCACTTTGATTGGATATATAAAAGACAGCTAAAGCAACAAGGATAAAATAAAACACAACTATATATTGACTCGCAATATATAGACAACCCATGGTCCAATCTTAAAGGCCAAAAGGCTAAAATCATATCCACATCGGCAGTCGTCCAACTAGGATTAGGCCTAAGAGTTTGAGGAGTGGTTTCCACCTATTAGAGATGAGCGTGCTTAAGTGCGGCTCTACACCGTTGTTTAGGAGGACTTCTATAATGCTTATGTCAACAGCGGTGTAGCCTCCAGGTCACAGAGGGTCTGTTCCTTAGAGGCTCTTGTTGCAGTTGTTGGAGATTCGCTTCGTCTGCACCTCACCTACCTGCCAGGTGTGTCAGACCTCCTTGGGAGGATGGGCGTCTATGTGCCTTCGTGGGTGCACGAGTTTTACGCCTCACTGTGGATTGACCCAGGGCATAGGTTCATATACTTTGCATTCAGAGGCCGTGACTACTGGCTCCAGAGTAGTAGGGTCAGGGAGATACTTCGACTTACAGAGACATATATCAAGATACACCAGGTTTGCTGTGGTGAGACAGAGCCACCCCGACGCCCTCATGGCGGGCAGGTGCCACCCACAGAGCTTGTTAGGCCCTGTTTCACTGAGCCATTTGGAGAGGGGTCGAGTCGGACTCCCAAGACTCTTACTCCGACAACCCGGATTCTTGATGCGGTCATGAGGCATACTCTCTTACCGAGGATGGGGTACTGTGAGGGCTTAACTCGTATTCAGCTGTGGCTCACTTACTACCTTGTCTCCCAACTTGAGTTCGATGTCTGGGACGTGATGCTTTCAGAGATGGAGGATACCCTAGCAGAGGGATTCAGAGGACAATGTCAGTTGCCGTATGCCACCACAGCCACACGACAGAGAGGCTAGCGGCTTAGCTTCTGCTCTACCTCCAGCTGCACCATAGATAGACCCGGCACTTCTTGCCGTTCTTCAGCAGATAAGGCAGGATCAGGCTCGTGAGGCACAGGACACAGCTGTCGCACTTACACAGGTACAGGTCTGTTAGGACCAATTTCAGCAGCAGCAGGAGATGCAGTAGTAGCAGCTTCAGATTTAGCAGTAGCTCCTTAGACTCATGCAGACTGTATTCCAAGCACTTCCACTTCTTCAGTCTCAGCAGCTAGATTTTCAGCTTCACCAGCAGGCACCGACCACCACTTTGACTCCAGCGTTATAGCCTGGTGGGCTTCAGAGTCAGGGACAACCTGTGAGCACTCAGTTTACATCACCTATTGCTTAGGTGTCTTAGTGGTTCGTGACTCCTCTGACAGCTCAGCTTCCACAGTTCTCGCCACTACACACCGGGTTCACCCTAGGATAGCCACTTTCAGCGAGCTTACAGGGCAGCCCACTCCTCCAGAGCTCAGAGCTCCACTTGTTCCTTCTATAGCTGCACCAGTCACTGGCACTACAGAGACTCTACCTTCCTCAGTCGCTTTGTCAAAGCCTCCTCGGACTACTACTCCCACACTTGAGGTCTCAGCGACAACAACAGCTACTACTAGTGTCCAACCACCGACAGAGCAGACCCGGACCACTTCTATTACAGTTCCAGCAACAGAGGGTCAGACAGCTCAGACCTCAGAGTCAGATGATGATGGAGCTCAGTTCTAGGTCTCTCACTGCACCTCAGCGCCTGACTCGTCTACTTCCGTCCCGCCTACCGACCCTTAGTTTTTGTGCTTGATGCCAAAGGGGGAGAGGGAGCGAGTATGTTAGACTTAGGGGGGCGTGTGAGAGGGATTCATTCTTTTGGTGCTACTTCATCCATTCATGTTTATTTTTATGCACTTAGTTACTTTCGTACTTGTGTGCTTGTGAGAACTACGTCTTAATGCTTAAAATTATGTGAGACCTACGTGACATGTGTGCTCTCTACTTCATTATCTTAATGTCATGTCACTTGGTTATGCTCATTTGCTTATGCTTCCGCGACTAACTCTGACTCAAATGAGCTTTACTTATGTACTTGTTCTTACTTCATATCTTATGAGAACATCATGTTGGCTTGGATCATATAAGCTTGCCTAACCCCTTTTGCTCTTATTGTCTTATGCTTATATGAGCCAAGCATGTTGAAAACCTCACTTCTAACTTGCACATACTCAAGGTAGTGTTGTCATCAATCACTAAAAAGGGGAAGATTGAAAGCATCTAGGCACCTAGTTGGGTTTCGGTGATTAATGACGACACGAGATTACTATGACTAACGTGTGATTTGGAGAGGCATTATAAGTTAAGTCATGGTAATGGCAATTGATTGGGAAATATGGTTTTCATGCCCTCGTCGATGAAATTCGATTCAATTTTCAAAGGGTGGACGATAAGGTTAAGGACAGACTAGTTCTAAGTGCCAATTGGAGTTGGATAGGCACTTAGAGTAGTTTAGGACTTTGTTTTCCTTTTGGCCGTACTATTAAGGGGGTATGGACTAGTAGCTTGACCTAGGTGAGTCTAATGAGTTAGGTGTGGTGCACACTTGCCAAACTTAGCACTAGGTAGCTCAGGTGAGGTCCTTCAATCAATTGGAAGAAAGTTCATTCACATAGAATTTCGATTTGGAAGTGAATGTAGAGTCAAATGATTGACCGGATGCTGGTCACACAGTGACCGGACGCTGGGGCGTGCACCCGGTCAGTTCATTTGACCTAAGGCAGCAATCTGGTACTGACCAAACACTGAGTCAGAGAGCATCAGACGCTGAGGGTATGCGTCTGGTCGGTAACAGAGAGGCACCAGAAACATATTTTCGTGACCGGATGCGTCCGGTAGGTGTTGACCGGACGCTGGCCAGAGTCTGGTCACCACTTAATGGTTCTTTCTGATAGAGTGTGAAGTTGAACTGACCGAAGCGTCCGGTCAAGTTGATCGGAGCGTCCGGTCAGCCCGCAGAATGCAGACTCTGCCTCCCAACGGCTTTATTTGTTTGAGGGAGTATAAATACTTCCTCTATTCGTCCATGGGAGGTCTCTTGCTCATTTATTTAGCTAAGAAAACACCCTTGGAGTGCAAGGAAGTGCAAGAGCCTAGTAAGGGTCCTAGGGATTTGCAAATCCAAGATTAAGGACCTCATTAGTGCATAGGGAGTAGCAAATGTGCATCCACTCATCTCATTAGGCTTGGTTGGGTCAAGTGAGAGTTCGTGCTTGTTACTCATGGTGATCGCCATCACCTAGACGGATCGATGGTGATTGGAAGCTTGGTGATCATCCGACGGAGCTTATGGATGACCCAAGTCATCTTGTGAGCGGTTGTGGGCGATTTACTGTGATGGAGTGTCGAAGAATCAGCCCATAGAGAGCACTTGGTCCTCACACGGATCAAGGGAGAGCTACACCTTTACGCGGGTGCTCCAATGAGGATTAGTGGGGAGTGGCGACTCTCTGATACCTCGGGAAACATCGATGTGTTCCTTTCCTTTAACTTTGAGCATTTACATTCAAGCAATTCATACATGTCTTTACATTCCTAGAATTGTCATGTTAGAGTAGGATTGGAACCTAGGTTGTTAAACCTTTCTCCAGTAAATCACATAGACACACTACTAGACACTAGGGGTGAAATGGGATAAGTGTAGGGTTTAATTCTCGCATGAAATTTAGAATTAGCCCAATTCACCCCCCTCTTGGGCATCTTGATCCTTTCAATTGGTATCGAAGCCTCGTGCTCCCGTAATTAGGCTTAATCGTCTAAAGCAAGATGTTCCACGGGGATAGACCTCCTCCTATCTTCGAGGGAGATGAGTTTCCTTATTGAAAAATTCGCATGGAGGCGTACCTTGAGGCTATAGATGTTGGAGTGTTTAGAGCTGCCATTCAAGGTTTTCCCAAACCTAATGATATCGATCACTTCCAAGGTGATGAAGTGCACTATGAGAAGTGGAACGCAAAGGCTAGAAACACCCTCTTTAGAGGCCTTTGCAAGGACATATTCAATCGCATGAGGAACCACAAGGATGCCCATTCACTATGGTCGGACATTTGTGCGCTACATAAGGGAACCAAGAGTGAGCATGAGAAACACTATCATCTTGTCATGAAAAAGCTTAATTCCTTTGAGATGCATCCTAAGGAAAGTGCTAATGAAATATACTCATACTTGAATGTTCTTGTAGAGAAAGTCAATGGTCTTGGTCTCACAAAATTGAAGCCATATGATGTTGTGAGAAAGGTCTTGAGTGTGCTCCTTATTAACAAATATGGCCACATTGTGACGGTGCTTCATCAAGGTGATCTTTCCACCACTATACCAACACAAATATTGAGAAAGATCAATGCGCACGAGATGTACATGCACATCACTTCTCAAGATGACTCCTCCTCTACCAAGAAGAAAGACTTGGCATTCAAGGCTAGTCATGACAAGAAGGGCAAAGCAAAGGTTGATCATGATAGTTCAAGTGATGATGACATTGATGATGCAA